TGCCCCCTTATCCTAGTCCTACCAAAGGACCCAAAACAGAAAACGGAACAGTATGTCAATTTAGCGAGCCGCTTCCATTTTTTCTAGTACGGCAATTTTTGGCCTTAGGTAGAGTATACGTCAAAATGCAACGTTCTGTTAGGTGAACGGGTTGGGCGGAATGCTGGGGCCGGCGGAGGTCCCCTGCATTTGAAGCAGTAGACGAGGAGAGACGTTGAGGGACCGTAGTGGCTCTTTACATTTTTGGAAGAAAAACGAGGAGGAGCCCCCGTGAGCCACATTGCGAGAGGCATACTATTGAGGAGAGTGGCTGGATGGAATGTTGCTGGGAGTCAATTGAAGCGCGATGATGGAAGCTGGGGGCATTAACATGGGGAGGATTTGACGGGGGGGGGGGAGAGGCGTGTGATGTATGGGTGTTACTCGCAGGGAAGGGCTGGTGGTGAGGAAGAAGGTAGGGCAGCTCGCCACGCCTGAAATCCTTAGTGGATCGATGCGTGCGGGGGAGCCGGCGGCCACGCAGGAGGCGGGCTCCAGGAAACACAGTATTACACGCGGATACAATCGTCCCTTATGTGACTGTCGTATAATGTATAATATATATATTTAATGACATTCTTAATTATTTAGCTTCTGTGAAACCTATTCGCTTATTTGATTTGTTTAACATGATTTAAAAGGAGGAAAAGTTACCAAGAAAATGGAAGGAACCTGTAAGGATAGCTATACTCAAGTCAAATGGAGGTTACAAGCCAGGATCATTAACATCCTGCTTTTGTAAAATGATGGAATGGATCTTGTTGGATAGGCTACTCTACCTTGTCAACAATAACATGTAAGCTTTTTGGTTTCTTCAAGGGAACAATTATTGCGGACTGCCATAAAATGTTTTGTCTAATGTGAAAGACAAATGGAGAGTATTTGTTGGTCTGTCAAGTGTATAATGTCAACGGGAGATAATTTTACACGAATTACCCCCCATGGGAGTGACGGGAAGAATGTTTTGTTGGATACGCGATTATTTACAAAGGAGAAAAGTCAGATGTGGTACCAGGGATATAATTCAGAGAAAAGGATGTTTTAATTAGGTACCCCTCGAGGGGGCGTTTCAAGCCCCACTTTATTCAAGGTACTAATGAACAATAGAGCATCAGAGATGTGTCCTCCAGGGGTCTCGACCTGCATATAAGTTGTTGACATTCTCATTCAAGGAATCTCTAGCAACAGAATTCAAACCGCTCTTAACATACTCGAAGCAGCCTGTCACAAGCTATGTTATAAATGTAGAAATAAACAAATATTAATGTAGAAAACGACAAAATATACAACACTCTACATGGCCAGCAAGTGAACCGTCTTCACAAGTACTAGCAGGTAGGCAGGTAGGTGTGTTGGCTACAGGATGAAATAAATCGTATCAATATCTTCGGTAAAGCTCGACTTCATCCTCTGTAGCCGCTGGCATTTTCTGGTGAGGTGTTGGAGTACCGCTTGCGGGTGTTTTACATAAGCACTGTTTGCTCCCTGGTAGACAGGTTAAATATCCCGAATGGAATCCACAGGGAAATAGCAGTTTGGTTATATAGACTACGTCTAGGTTACAGATGAAACTGGGAAATTGGTGAACCCAGAGAATGGGAATACATCTTCTGCCAATCACAGAAAAGCCACTACTTCACTATCTCCTGCAATGTGAAGCAACCAACGACCTTAGAAGAGCTTTAAGCGTCCCTGAATCTTGCAGTAACCACCCATAAACACAGCCACTCTCCTGGTCAAAAAAAGGTGTCCAGCACCTGGACACCCTCATAAATACGGTCAAGCAGTAACCTCCTCCGCGATAGCACCCACATAGTAAAGACTGACGGTTTAAATGCGACCTCAGCACACAGTGTAACCTTTCACGACCAAAGGTCACATTCACTCCAAAAAATCTACCACTTATGGACTATTCATGGCCCTGCAGGAATAATCATAGGTAGCTTAATCTTCATTAATCAAGTCATTCCTGGTAGACTATGCTCCCAGCGTCTCACACCTGGCACCTCAACACCGTGTTAGGTCTCACGTCGTGTAAGGCCTTACGCTGTGTAAGGTCTTACGCTGTGTGAGATCTTACGACGTGTAAACAGACTTACGAGGAAGCCTGTTGACTCTCACGTGAGAAGACCTGAGTCAGGCTGACAATCACCTTCCAAATGTACGAGAGCGGACGCAGCAACACCCAGCCTTCGGACACGCTTCGGCTAACACACACTAACGTTGTTAACGCGGCTAATGTTAGACACACACCAACTATCCTGGGACACTTTCGGCGTGTACTGAGCGCCTGCAGATGCTTATTGGGAAGTGGCAGACGGTATGTATCTCTGGCCAGTCCCTCCTCCTGCTTAGACAGTAGCGACGCTGGTGACCATCGTACATATGGTGACGAAATAGACAAGTAGAAAGTAGAATTTGGTTCCACTGAACAGGAAAAGGTTTTTTATTTATTTGATAAAAAAAAGCCCTCAGTCATCCTAAGCCTAATACAACCTATCTGAGGCTTAATACAATGCATATATGCTATAATAAGCCTAAGAGTATTTAAGTTTGTTTTTTAGTTTCATTTTTCCGGAGTATAAAGTGAACAGTACATAATTCTACTATCTAATTGGCCATTAAGGCAATATATGTGCGATGGTTATAGTTACAAAAAAGTACTATCTGAACAGGAGGCTTGGTTACTCTGGTGGAGTGCCTGGGCCTCGTGTGTGTTGTGAATGCACGCGTGTGTGTGTGTGTTGTAATTACCTAAGTGTAGTTACAGGAAGAGAGCTACACTCGTGGTGTCCCGTCTTCCCAGCACTCTTTGTTGTATAACGCTTTGAAACTACTGACGGTTTTGGCCTCCACCACCTTCTCACTTAACTTGTTCCAACCGTCTACCACTCTGTGAAAGTGAATTTTATTATATTTGTTTGACAGCTTTGTTTAGTAGTTTAAATCTATGACCTCTTGTTCTTGAAGTTCCAGGTCTCAGGAATTCTTCCCTATCAATTTTGTCGATTCCCGTTACTATTTTTTACGTAAGTGCCTCTTATCTTATCTTATCTTATCTTATCTTATCTTATCGCCTCTTTTTCCTTCTATATTCTTGCTTTAGCATATTTAATGCCTCTAACCTTTCCTCGTAGCTCTTGTCCTTCAGTTCCGGGAGCCATTTAGTTACATGCCTTTGCACCTTTTCCAGCTTGTTGATGTGCTTCTTAAGCTATGGGCACCATACAACCGCTGCATATTCCAGCTTTGGTCTAACATAGGTCGTGAATAATTTCTGTAGTATTTCACCATCCATGTATAGTATTTAAAAGCAATTCTGAAATTGGAAAGTGTAGCATAGGCTCCTCGGACACTGTTATTTGTGTGGTTCGCTGGTAACAGTTTTCTATCTAGTACCTCCCCTGGATCTTTATCTTTATCTGAATTTTTAAAACTTTTTCAAATAATTTGTAGGTTGTGTGGTGTCTATTTTCTCCTATTTCACATACACGAGTGTGTTGTGTGTACACGCGCGTGTGAATTCTGAGTGCACGCGTGTGTTGTGAGTGCACGTGCGTGTGAGTGTGGGTGGGGGAGTGGAGGGTTGACGGTTGTTAGATGGAGGAGGGGAGTGGCAGGCTTGGTTGTGGGGGTGTGTGTTGGGGGTGTGGTGGGGGAGTGTTGCCCGCGGTAGGTAGCCTGCGGGGAAGAGGAGGCAGTATATTATTTTTTATTTTGCCCCGAAGGGCTAGTTTATTGGGCAGCGCCACTCATGCTGTGAGTGAACATGGAAGGCTGTATGAAGCCTAGTATGAAGAATGAAGCCTAGTATGAAGAATGAAGCCTAGTATAAAGAATGAAGCCTAGTATAAAGAATGAAGCCTAGTATGAAGAATGAAACCAAAGACCAGGTCTGTCAGGGTGTTTCGTGTTAGCTTTTCGGAACATCCTACATATTCATCATACTGAAGCTTGTTGCTTAGCTTAGCGAATAGTGGTTTTCAGGTTGATTGTTTGATGATTAAGTCACCCCAAGAAGTGTCGCACGGGGGGTTAGTTGCCCCGTAAGTGGTATATATATATAGATGTTTGGAGTGAATGTGATTTATGGTCGTGTAACATCTTAAAGTGTCTCCTTGGCCCTCTCCTGGATTAAGATTAAGCCACCCAAGAGGCTGGTCTTCAGTTCCTGAACTTCTTAAGTATCCTTATAACCTGGTCTTTTGTGCCTGAACTTGTTAAGTATCCTTATAACCTGGTCTTTAGTCCCTGAACTTGTTAAGTAACCTTGTAACCTGGTCTTTAGTCCCTGAACTTGTTAAGTATCCTTGTAACCTGGTCTTTAGCCCCTGAACTTCTTAAGTATCCTTGTAACCTGGTCTTTAGTGCCTGAACTTCTTAAGTATCCTTGTAACTGGTCTTTAATTCCTGAACTTCTTATGTATCCTTGTAACCTTCCCCTTACCATTCCCCCCCACAACATTGTGCTCATAGCAGAGAAACGTATGTTGACTCGTAGTTCATTACAATAAATACTTCAGCTGGCACCCTGGCGTCAAATTACATTGTCGCACATTATACTCGCTGACAAACATTATTTATATATATATATATATTGGTAACGTAGAGAGTGTATTAGGTGCATTCTCACTGTTGAGCCTCAGGTAAGTTGACCTTGTGTCTTCGCAATGACGGTCGTTTTCCAGCCTTGTGTGTCTGCCTTAGTGCTGGCAAGTTTCCACGGATAACCCCTTATCCTACATCTTAATAGTTCAAAGTCCTTCTCAACTAGCTTTAACTGTGGACGCCGCGGGTCACCGAAACGCTACGTGCATTTTGTAATGCCCTTTTGCAGGAGGCGTGGAAGGGTGTAATAAGGGGTGTTTGGAGTGGTTGGTGTTAGAGTGCGTGGCGAGAGTGGCAGGTGTTGCGTGCGTGGGGAGGAGGTGGGGGGGGAGGTGCGAGAGTGAGAGAGAGTGGCGGGCGGCGGGGTGCGAGTGTCAGTGTGCGAGGCTCTGCCGTGGTGGGTTGATGTGTCACTCGTGCGCTCCGCTGGTTCCTCCTCCACTCTCCCACTTCACTGTGCTGACCAGTATTGCTTCTTCTTCTTGCGGGGGAATCGGTTGCCTCTTGTGATTTTTCTTCAAGTAAACTTAATTTATTCAAGACTTGCTGCTGCTACCCACCTCCAAACCCCCCCTTTTTTTTCCTCTTTGTTAAAAAGTGGTGAATGAATAAAAGGTAATCAAGAGAGAGGGGGGAGGAGGAAGGAGGTGTTGTTCCACGTTTTAAAGTGTTTTAATAAAGGGTCGGCGGCGCGAGTGTGGGAATATCGGCAGCGTCTCGGCGTGGAGTGGTGGTTTGACAGCTGTTATCAAGAAGTTTTTGGGATTAGCGGCGGCTCCTTGAGCAGCTACGGAAGTGTTG